TAACGAAGATATCAGCAGCAACGTTGCTTCCACTATGCAGAAGAAAAGTAATGTTGACAGCAGTATCAGTCCTGTGTGGATGCGCACTGCAGCACCGCTACTGATTGTGGTTGTGTTGTTCTCCGCTACCGTGTACTAAACTGTGGGACTCATCTGAGGACAAATAATAATAATAATGGTAATACCAACATAATCATAATTGCGTACATCCACCCCATGGGTGAAATAAAATTAATAATCTGTTTACCAGCTTTCTCTTTTAATTGGAATTTCTTTACTTTTATGTGTGTGTGTGTTCTTTTTCTAATAATTCCATTATTTGCTTTTCCCCGTTGTGTGTGTGTGTGTGCAGAAAACTGGGCTGTTCTGCTCACTGACGGTATACATCTCTTGCTAGTACACACAGATGTGTGAGTGCAGTTATTTAATACATAAACTAGAGCAGTGGGGTATTGTGTGTGTTTGGCTCTCTCTCTTATTTGGGTATTGTGGTGGTGTTTTCTTCTCCATTAATGGGTACATATTATCATATAAGCGGGATATTCCTTTTTATTGCTTTACTGTGTATTTGTTGCTTCTTTCTCTATCCCACTGTGAGTATTTGTTGTACTCTTGTATGTTTGTTTGTTTCCATTTCACTTTTTTCTTGTGTTCCTCATTATTGTATTACTTTATTGAAATAATCATCAGCAACAATGACAAAGGCTGTAATGGTGAGAAACTACCTGCTCTGTTTACTAACTCTTGCACTGTGTTGTGCTTCTGGGTTGGTATGGGCTGATAGTCCTAAAGCTTCTGATAGCCTTTATAAAACTTCTACTCTTGGTGTTCGTTCTCTTGTTCGATATGCCATTTGTGCGGAGAAAGCGTCTTGGTTGGAGATCGAGGAGCAGGAGAAAGGGGATGAGGGTGAGACTCTTCCTTCTCAGAGTTTGGGCAAAGAGCATACGTCTATTCCCAATGGTTCACGAACTGAAACTCAGTTAGCGGAGCAGGTGTTGAAAGAGAGGGAACAGATGAAAAATAAAGGATTGGAAGAACATTTGCCTGATCAATTAACTCTGGATAACAACAGGAGAAGTGGTTCTCCAGAACATACAATTTTGCAAAAAACTGAAAATGCTGTTTCACTGGAAGAAGCAGAAGAACCACCCGGTAAAACTTCTAAAGGTACAACGAACCCTGCTTCTGCTACCCCTTGTACTGATGGTGGTTCTTCTATCGGTGCTTGTACTCTTACTGCTCAAGATGCATCTGTTGGTTTTACCGCTACACCTGTTAGTCCACCAAGTATAGGAGCTGATGGAGCAGGTCCCGCTGATGCTCAAAGTGAGAAAAAACCACCGGAGCTTCAAGGTGGAAAAGGACCTGATGGTGATCCTAGTGCAGTAGAAGGTACAACTGAAATCAGCAACAACGGTGAAGGCCAAGGAAGTGCAACATCACAAGCTCCACCTTCCACCGGCAATGCAGCCACTGCTGAACAGGAATCTCAATTAAACAACAACACCCATGAGTCTGATAACGCGGACCACACAAACACTGACACTACCAATACAACCAGCAATGATGAGGAATCAACCACCACCACCACCACCACAACAACAACAACAACAACACTTCCTCCTGAACTCACAAACAACAATAAGGGTGATGCAGACAGCAGCAGCAGTATCAGCAGTTCTGTGTGGGTGCGTGTACCACTACTGACTGTGGTTACACTGGCCTGTATTCTTGTGTACTGATTGTGATAGTGACTCAGGTCATACTTTGTTTTTTCTTCCTTTTTTTTGCATACATCCCTACAGTCTAACTATTCTTCCATCTGTTGGGCTATTTTTCTTTTTGTTTCTTTTAATGTTAATGTGTTTTGTGTTCTTTTACTCTCTGTGTTTATCCTATAATTATTATTATTGCTACTCCATTGTGTGTGTGTGTGTTCTTGGAGACTCTGTCTCTGTGTGTGCACCTGGGCTTGCACTGTGATGATGATAATGATGAACTGTTTGTTGCAGTGAAAGGAAAAAGAAATAATAATAACAAATGAATTTATATTTATAATTGCGTATTTACGTATATATAGACTTACACCCATAGTTGGTGTATTTCTGCGTTTACTGGTTAAGTTGGGCTACTTTTTAATGTTTTTTTGTTTGTGATTTGCTAGTTCTTTTTGTGCTTTGCTCTGCACCGTGGTGTTTTGCTTTACGCAGAGTGACAAAATGTTAGCTTTTAAGGAGAAATTCAGAATTTGCTATTTACTTAGTAGTGAATAGATAGCTATGTATTTGTGTGTTTTCTGCTCTCTTTGGTAGCATTTTAATTTTTTTACCTGGAGTCTTTCTATTTGGGGTTATTTTTGATTTTCTTCTTATTACTGTTTGTTGGGTGTTTTGTTCCTTTAATTAGATACTATCTGATTTATTGCTGTGGCATTGTGTTTTCTCTTTTTGTGATGTCATTTGTTTTGTTCAATTGTTCTGTGATTATTTTTTTCTTGGTTTTTATTAATAATTCCCCTTTTTCCTCATTTTTTCTTATTTCTGTAGTGGAGTGATACCAGAAAACAATAGTAACAGCCATTGTCATGATGATAAAGTGTTACGCACTTTCTCTTTTGGTTCTCGCACTTTGTTGTGTCTGTGGATGTGTGGTAGCTGACAGTGATGCTCTGGAACGTACAGCTAATGATCTTGGTCCTGGGACTCACGATAGCACTTTGAAGGATAATTTGGATACTCGTGATAGAGAAGTGGAAGATAGTGGAACGGAATGTCAAACAGATAATGAGGAGGAAAATAAGGGAACAAATTGCAAACCAAATACCTCGCAGGAATTGACTCTAGGAGCTGGACAACTAAAAGAAACAAGACCTGAAGGTGATATACTTTCACAACCACAAACGAGTCTCGGTCCTTCTCCTAGTGCTCCTGGTACTCTTGGGGTTCCTGCCCCTGACGCTCCTCCTTTAACTCCTGCTGCTCCTAAAGATCCTGCTGCTGTTGGTGCTGCTAACCCTTCATTGGCAGGTCCTCCTGCAGTAGATGGTGTAAAAGCGGCAGAAGAGAGTGAAGCTGTGACTGAAAAGAATACGGATACTAAGAAACCAGCACAAGGTGAAAGGACAGCAAACATGGACAGTCTTCAAAGTGAAGGTGAAGAGAACAATGGGGGAGCAGCAGGACCACAGGGAAATCAAAATGGATCACAACCCATTTCTTCTACTGGACCCAGTACAGGTAATACAGACACTCCAGAAAAAAGCGGGAGTCAAGAACAGACAACTGACACAAATGATTCTCAACCAAACAATGATACCGTTGAAACCAATACTTCAGCAAGCACAACCAATGACAATTCCAGTACACCCAATAATAATGAGGAATCAACCACCACCACTACAACAACACTTCCTCCTTTGCCTGCAAACAACAAGAAGAAGGGTGATGCAGACAGCAGCAGCAGTATCAGCAGTTCTGTGTGGGTGCGTGTACCACTACTGATTGTGTTTACACTGGCCTGTATTCTTGTGTGCTGATTGTAATGGTGGTGGTGTGGTGTGACTCAGGTCATCCTTTGTTTTCTTTTCTTCTTTTTTTGCATACATCCCTACAGTCTAACTAATCTTCCACCTGTTGGGATTATTCTTTTTTTGTTTCTTAATGTTATTCTGTTTTGTGTGTTTTTGCTCTCTATGTTTATCCTATAATTATTTTTGTTACTACTCCATTGTGTGTGTGTGTGTTCTTGGAGACTCTCTGTGTGTGCCTGGGCTTGCACTGTGATGATAAGGAACTGCTTTTTACAGTGAGAGGAAAAACGAAATAATAATAACAGATGAATTTATATTTATAATTGCTTATTCACTCAAGCAAACCGATATATCTCTGAATTCTGTTGTGATGGAACCGTCAGCTATTAACTTAATTTCGTTTATTCTTTATTGAGTAGTTTGTTTGGTGACTCATTACTGAAATGTTTATTTTTTTCGTTAATAACTGTTGATTTTCTTGTGTTGTTTTCTCTCTTTTTCTTTTTTTTTATATCTATTGTGTTGTATCTTTTTTATTTTTGCTCACCTTTCTGTTTTTTATTTATTTATGTAGCCAAGTGACCCAAAAACAAAGGCCTCTTGTCGTGATGTTGTTGCGTTTTGTGTTGTGTGTGATCACTTTGCTTGTGAGCATTGGCTGTGCTTGTGTAACGGCGGCTGAAGGTGGTGGTGCTTCTGCTCTTGCTACCCCTTCTCAACCTGATTCTGATAATTGTATTCAAGATTCTACTGATGGTTCTGAATGTCCTCCTAAACGTATACAACCTGAAGATCATTCTAAAAATTGTGAGGGTAGTACTGCAGGAGATCAATGCCCTAAAAGGGAAGAAGCCATTGAAAGTAGTGCTGCTTTGGGGCGTGAAGATGTGAGGAGCCGTTCTTCTGCGCTTGAGGCAAGGAGAGATGGATTGAATAATGGAGTTTCGCAAAACGGTGCAAATACACTGCAGAAAGAAAATGAAGCAGGTAAGAATTTAGTTACTGTTGATCGCAACAGTCAAACCCACGAAGAAGTTAATGAGGTAAAACCACCACTACCTGCAGAGGAGACTCCCCATAGAGGACCTAATCAATCAGAAGCTCATGTACAGGTCCAAGCGCAACAAAGCGCACAAGAAGGAGTCACTGCTTCTCCTCAAACGGAAGAGATCAGCACAGTGGTCAGCAAACCTACGAACACAAGAACAGAAGAGACTTCAAGGAATGATAATACTCTTAATACGGAATCCTCACCTCCAACAAATCCACAACCACAAGAAAACAGTGAATTGCAATCATCTGTCATTGCTAGTGCTGAGACTCCTGCATCAACTTCACCGGCGGAAACTGAAAACACAAATGCATCTGATAATACAAATGCTGGGAGTGCCAGTACACCTGCAGAGAGTGAGTCATCAAACAACCAAGAAGGTGATGCGGTAAATACAGCTACAACCACCACCACCACCACAACAACAACAACAATTCCTCCTGAACTCACAAACAACAAGAAGGGTGATGCAG